GAGGCCACAGGGTACCCCCAGGATGCTGTGAAATGGAGCAGTGAGCCTCCGGACCCACACTTCATATGTCAGGAGACCAATCAGCAGGCTTGGGACGGAGGCCACAGGACACCCCCAGGATGCTGTGAAATGGAACAGCGAGCCTCCGGACCCACACTTCATGTCAGGAGACACAGGAAGGTTGCAGGGGGGTGGGATGCTGCCTACAAGGTTCACGCAGGAGGCTTGGGGCAGCTTGGAGGAACCTGAGCATTTCCTTCTCATCCCTCAGGAGGAATATGATGCCACCGTGAGATAGGCTGGCTCCCCAGAGAGCAGCATAAATTACTTGTGGGACCACAAGAACCACATTACAGCAGGTAAGAGGAGGCTGAGCCAATGACAGTGCCAGTATTTGTGTCATGCACAGTCATTCTCGGAACCCTTCCAGCCAGTGACTTTTTTTTTTTGCAGTTTTTGGCCGGGGCTGGGTTTGAACCCACCACCTCCAGTATATGGGGCCAGTGCCCTACTCCTTTGAGCCACAGGCACTGCCCCCAGTGAACTTATTTTTGAGCCTCACTAGAACTCATTATCTGGCTCAGTGCCTGTAGCTCAGCGGCTAGGGCACTGGCCACATACGTCAGGGCTGGCGGGTTTGAACCTGGCCCACAGGGCCAAACAATGACAACTACAACAAAAAAATAGCCGGAAATTGGGGCAGGTGCCTGTAGTCCCAGCTACTCGGGAGGCTAAGGCAAGAGAATCGCCTAAGGCCAAGAGTTTGAGGTTGCTGTGAGCTGTGACAGCCATAGCACTCTAATGAGGGTGACAAAATGAGACTCTGTCTCAAAATAAATAAATAAATAAACACTCATATCATCATGTCCATCTTACAAGGGCAGAAAACAAGCTATGAAAGCTGTCTTTCCTGCCCAAGGTGACACAGCCAGCATGTGGCAAAGTCAGGCAGTGAACCCAGATTCGGGGGAACCCAGCAAAAGCCCCAAACAGAAATACAACATTCCCCACACTCCCCACTTGATTCTTCAGTGTGAGAGGAACAGGAGCCCTTGGCCAGATAAGGAACCGGAGTGCAGAGCGCGACCCTGCTCACCTGTGTGCGTGCGGACGTGTCTCTTCAGGTCGAAGGTGTCGTTGAAGCCCTTGCCGCAGAAGGTGCACAGGTGCCTCTTCACCTGGCTGTGGCACTTGAGGTGACGGTTAAGCATCCGCTGCAGGCGGAAGCCCTTGCCGCACAGGTCGCAGCTGTGGGCCTCTGAGTCGCCGCACGTGCCTGTGGTGAACTGGGACAAAGAGAGGCATGAGGGAACCCGTGCAAGTGGGCACGTCCCACTGGGCTCACAAGGGAGACCTGCCTCCCTGTGTCTTTAGGGTTGTCTGTAGCTCCTGCCCCCTACAAGATCCAAGTGGGTATTGGCTTGGGGGAGGAGAGACAGCAGCTGCAGCTCCTCCCAACTTTCGTTTTTTGGCTAGGCACCTTGTCTTACAATATCTGTGCAACAGACATGGTTACACGACCACCTGGCCCAAGAAACAGAAAGCTCCTTAAAGGAGAAAGAATGGTACCCTCTTCCTTCTGTGCTCCTTCCTACTGGCTAGAGCGAGGACCAGTGCGTAGAGGCCTGTGCTGAGTGTGGAAGAGCAGAAAGGAAGAAGGAGTCTGGGCGGCAGCGCCTGTGGCTCAAAGGAGTAGGGTGCTGGCCCCATATGCCAGAGGTGGCAGGTTCAAACCCAACCCTGGCCAAAGAAAAAAAGAAGGAATCTGGGTCCTCACGACATCATGCGGCTCGTTACAGAGAGTCCCCAAAGACAGCCACAATCTATTCTTTCCTCCCTGAACCTGAATGCTGTTCCATCCTAGGGATGGAGATGACGTCCCCTCTCCGTGAATCCAGGCAGAGCTAATGACCTCTTGGACCAATAGGGTGCAGTAATGACGAATCAGTTCCAAGTCCTGAGAGACCTTGCAGCCTCCACTTCCACTCTCTTGGAAACCTGGTGCCATGTTAAGAAACCCACAGCTGCCATGCTGTGAGGAAGCCCAGCTAGCTGTGTGGAGAGTCAGAGGACATGTGGAGGAGCACCAAGGGGCCAGATACAAACAAAGCCTCACTGGACCTTCCCGCCCAACCCAGGGCTGCTGCCAATTGAGTGATTGACCCCAGAGTGGGGCTGCATCACTGAGCCAGGCCCCAGTTCTTGACCCATAAAACCACAAACACATAAAATTATCATTTTGGAGAGTGAGGTCCTATAGCTTCACCATCAACAAAGCCACAACTAGGCTCGGCGCCTGTGGCTTAAGTGGCTAAGGCGCCAGCCACGTACACCCAAGGTGGCAGGTTTGAATCCAGCCCGGGTCCGCCAAACAATAATGACGGCTGCAATCCAAAAATAGCCGGGCATTGTGGCAGGCGCCTGTGGTCCCAGCGACTTGGGAGGCAGAGGCAGGAGACTCGCTTGAGCCCACGAGTTGGAGGTTGCTGTGAGCTGAGATGCCACGACACTCTACCCAGGGGAACAGCTTGAGGCTCCATCTCAAAAAAAGAAAAAAAAAAAAAGAAAAGAAAAATACCAGATCTAAATATTCGAAGGTTACCAATTCAGATCCCCTAAGATAGATCCAATTGCTCTGCCAAAATTCTGTTCATAAAAAGGCCTAAAAAAATTTATTTTCATCTAAACATCACTAGCAAGAAGATTGGCCCTTTCCTGGCTCCACACTCACCGTGCTGCCAATACCCTCCTCCTTTCTTCCACCCTGGGCACTGCCCTCACCTAAGGCGCAGCTCAATTGTTCCCTCACTGCCACAGCCTTCTGCAGATACTGGGCCCATGCCAAAAGGGCACTCTGTCCCACTTAGACCAATGCATTGCAGACACCATCAAGCCCACACCTCCCCTAGGGAATCTTGTTAAAATGCAGGTTCTGATAGAGGAGGTCTGGTGGGGTCTGTGGTGTTACATTTCTAACCACTTCAAGAGATGCCACTTGGGCAAGTCCATGCCTCACACTTGATAAGTGGGGTCAAAGCGCCAGCCCTCAAGAGTTGGTACTCCATCCCATCTCCTTTCAGGGTAGTTATGAGCACACTTCAACTCAACACCTTGAATACAGCCAGCACTCACATCCCTGCCTCTCATGCCTCAAGCCTCCCTGAGGGCCAGTGCCCAGTTGGCAAGTGTTGACAGGCACCTGGGAGCAGGTGACAGGATGCAAAGAGACTCCAGGAAGGCACAAGACCCAGGAATGGAGTTTCCAGATGGCCTTCTCTACCAGCTCATGCTCATTTGCCTAGAGCTTAATGCGCCTCAGCGAACACTGGTAAGGGCCTGCTCTGCCTGAGGCAGCCCTGTGGCTCAACGCTGGAGGCAGCACAGTCACTGCGGCCAGTGACATCTGAGAGGCCCAGATGTAAGGGGACCTGGTAGGGCACCCACCCCGACATGGAGGACACTTCCAGACGAAGTGAACTCCTCAGTCAGGCAAAGACGACAAGGAAGAAAGGAGGACAGCTAAGATTCCAGGAGAGGACAGTGGGCAATGGGCACTGGGTGGCTGACCCAATCCTGTGAGAGAACTGATGAAGAAAGTAGTGGCAGCTGAGGGCAGGGGCCCCTCCTTAGGGGTCCACCCTGGGGCCCCAAAGGGAGCCATAATATGGTCAGAGGGCAAGAGGGGGCCATGGAAGACAAAGGAAGACAGGGGTTGAGTTCAGTGACCCAGTGGGTGCTCATCCTGGATCCCTAACTGCCTCACTCCCACAAGGGGGAGGGCTTGGCCCTCAGCATGTGGACACCCCACTGCGCACAAGGCTTTCTATCTCCGTGCCCAGCAATTTCCATACTGGCCATTGTCTCCCTGGAAAATGTATGGAAAGACTAACTATGGTTGGCTAAGAACTCTGATCTTACGGCCAAATCGACCCAGGTAAAAGACATTTGAGAGGTAGGGAGGGCAATGACGTAGATGTAGACAACTGAACTTAACAGCTCCAATTAACTAAAAATTAATTCCAGCCAAAAAGCTAGAACTTTCTTTGGGAAGTCTTCTCAATGCCCAAGGACTCTCCAGTCATAGCTAAGACCTAACTCCCGTTTCCTTTCTTTCTTTTTTTTTTTTGAGACAGAGTCTTACTTTGTCGCCCTCGGTAGAGGGCATCGGCATCATAGCTCACAGCAACCTCAAACTCTTGGGCTCAAGTGATTCTCTTGCCTCAGACTCCGGAGTAGCTGGGACTATAGGTGCCTACCACAACACCCAGCTATTTTTAGAGATGAGGTCTCACTCTGGCTCAGGCTGGTCGCAAACCCGTGAGCTCAGGCAATCCACCTGCCTCCGCCTCCCAAGTGCTAGGATTACAAGTATGAGACACCACTCGCAGCCCTCGACCTCTTATTTCCTTTAACTGTTTTAGGTAAATTCCTATTTTTAAAAGGCTCTTTATGTAATATAGATACCTTCTATTACAGTCCATAGCGAAAATCTCAAATCACTGGCATTGTTTTGTCTGGAAAGAATACAATCTTGAAGGGTTCAGGGAGTGCAGAGCCAGAAGGATCATCTGACTAAGATACAAAAGCTTTTTAAAACAGGGGAGAAGGCCAGAGCAGTGGCTTAAGGCTGTAATCCTACCACTCTGGGAGGCCAAGGTGGGTGGATTGCCTGAGCTCACAGGTTCGAGACCAGCCTGAGCAAAAAGTGAGACCCCCCCATCTCAACTGAAATAGAAAAACTGAGGCAAGAACATTGCTTGAGCCCAAGAGTTGGAAGTTATCGTGAGCTATGACACCATGGCACTCTACCCAGGTGACAGCTTGAGACTCTGTCTCAAAATAAATAAATAAATATAATAAATAAATAAGGCAGGGGAGAAAATGGGAATGAGGAACAGGGTTAGAGACTGAGGTGGCTCATTTGGGGAATTCACCCTGCAGGAATCCTCTGATTCCTGAAGCCCTGGTTGCCATACTTATGACCAACCTAGCCAACAGACATTAATAAATTACATATATTTGAAACCTTAAGAGAGCCTTGTTGAAAGAAGATAATTAAATGGCTGATGAAGCAGCTTATACCAAATTATTCTGCTTTTCAGAAAGGAAGGAATATTTGTAAGGTAAATTCCTAAATGTTTAACAAAAAGCATACTTCACATGTCGTGTGCCTTGAAATTTGGTCTGTAATAGCAAAAGACTAGAAACTACCTATATGTCCATCAATAGGGACTGATTTTAAAATGCTGGTAGAATTGTACCAACAAAACATCTGGACAAAGGTAACAGGCAAGTGGTAGTTCAAGTGTCAGCTTCCAGCATGGAGTGAGCTCTAGTGGATTCTAGTCCAGTCAAGCCCTAGAACACCCCTGTCCCAGCCCCCATCTAACTGCAACCACATGAGAAAAACCAGGCAAGAACCACCCAGCAGAGCCTAGTCTTTCCTCAGAAGTGGAAGGAACCATTATAAACTTGGTGGCAGCTATAGCTTAATGGGCAGGGTGCCGGCCATATACACCGAGGATGGCAGGTTCGAACCTGCCCTGGGCCAGCTAAAATCAACAATGACAATTGCAACAGAAAAACAGCCTGGGCCTGGCACCTGTTGCTTAAGCAGCTAAGGTACCAGCCACATACACCTGAGCTG